TTGTTGCGACTGTTTACTCAACTGTTTTGTGAACGATCATGAATTGAGTTCCGAAGCAGACACTGGTATATTGATATCTAAACTTTGCTGGTCATTTACTCTTAAATTTTTCTTCATTACAAAAAACTGATAAAATGGCATACATTTGTGAGAGCTGATTTTTTATTGGATTTTTTAGCCTTTTGATCTTATTTTGAATTTTTTTTAGATACAAACTTCTTATTTAATTTTTTGTTCTGATTAATTCCAGGCATAACCTTATTAGAAATACTAATTGTCTTATTTAGAAATTTTATATACAGGGTGAGATAAAACAACTGCAACAAAGTCAAAAGCCATAATTTTTACATTTTTTTAAATTTTATTGAATGAAAGCAATGTCGGAAATACGTTTTTTAGAATATGTTTAGATTTGTTCGAATTGGTCACCTTTGGCACAAATTAAGAACTTCAAACGACCAATGAAACCGTCACACGCTGCCCGAATGTTGCTCTGCGGTATTTTGGTCCATTCCCCTTAACCATTCTTGGGTGGTGCGTGCTGAGTGCGATGTCATGTTGGAATGTCCAAGGCCTGCGGCCAAAATGTTTGCGTGCACAAGGCTTTAACATACCCTCCAGAATATTTTCGCGATAATATTCGGCATTTATTCTGATGCCACGGTCGATTAATACGAACGGATAGCAACCATCGGCTGTTATGGCGGCCCACACCATCACCATGACCGGCGCTTGATTTCTGGTGGCCAACCGAAGGTGCACATTTTCAGCTGACCTCTTTGGCAAGTAAAGACGATCATTTTGTTTGTTTACAAACTGTTGGAGAACGAATGATTTCTCATAGAATTCGGCAGTTCACTACTTTCGGCCAAACCAATCAACTCTTTAGCTCTTTTAAGTCTATTTTCTTTCTGTTGCGGTGTAAGTTCTTGCACTTTTTGGAATTCCAATGGCTTTATCCCGAGCTCATTTTTCAACATTTGCCGAATGGAATATTGCGATATGTTCAGATCACGAGCCATTTTCGGCCACTGCGACACGGATTTCGATCAAGATGCTTCTTTACTTTTCAAACCATTTCTGCTGATGTTGCTGTTTTCTGCCGTTCACTTCCTTGACGTCGGGCTACGCTACCAGTATCACGGTAATGAGCGATGGTACGAGACACGAAAGATTTATGTAAATTTTAATGCTGAAGTGCTCTAACGATAGTCACTTGTGGTTTTCCAGCCAAATATAAAGAAATCACACTATCACGCCTGAATTCCATCACGAATAACTTTTTTTCTGGAAAATATATAATCAGCTGTCACTGGAATAATTTTCGGACGAGTGGCTTAGAAATGACAGCAGTCGATTTAACGACGTCCGTCTGTTGAAATCAAGATGCCGCCAAAATATTTTGACAAATAGCTTTTAAATTGGGCAAAATAGTTTGCATTTTCCATGGAATGATTGGTATTGAAATTGGGTTATTTATTTCTCGATATTCCAAATTTAGATTTTTGGCCATTGTAGCCACATTTTTCCACGTAACGGTTTTAAATTTCACATTTAGGATCTGCAATATATAGCTTTATCTGTAGTGAAAAAATGTCAATGTCGGTCCGAGTTGTAGTATAGTACACATATATAACGGAACCATCCTTCGTTTTTCTGTAACACCTATGTCAATATTTAATATTTTTTAAAAAATTAAATTAAGAAACGGAAATACCGAATTTATAAATTGAATTATACAGTATATATGTACATTGGTATATAAAGCCTGTCGATTCTGCCAAGATATTATAAACCATTCAACATTTTGAACATCGCACAAACCATGAAAACAATCAGTTTATTTTTGATATTTTTGTCCGTTATTTTGGCAACGGTGAATGGTAAAGTAGAGTTTTGTGATTTTATTTAGTAATATTTAATTTAATTTATTTAAAATATTTAAGGACAACTGTGTCGTGTTACTAGACGACGTGTAGCACCAGGTGAAAGAGTATGCCAGCAATATTGTAGAGTACGGGGTGGACCATTGACGGTATGCAGCACTGGCAGAAGATTCCACGAAACTGATTACTGTCCACCAGGATGCTGTTACGATAGAAATAGTTGTCGCCGGATTTGAAATGCTATCCTTTTAAGTCGGAGTTTCTTATTTATATGTTCAGAATTATTTGACAACAAACTAGTATATTATTCAAATTTAAATACATTAAAATGGATATTGTTTTTAATTTGTGACACATCGAAATAAAAGAATTAGGTGATGCTGAAACATTGATTGTGGTGAATTTAACATTCGGAGGTAACAATTGATGTTGGAATTCGGGCTGGGCAGACTATATAATATCCTACACCACTAAACGTATTTAGTGGAGCCCCGTAACAGAAATGTTTATATTTGGACAATAACATTGCTGTATAGTGCATGATATGACTTCGATAAGGATTATGTTAAACAAGTAAAAAAGCTGTAAGTTCGGCCGGTCCGAACTTTGAGAGCCCTCCACCATTTGGAACGAATTTGTCAATTTTCAAAAAAAAAAAAAAATAAATAAATAAATAAAATCCGTTAAAAATTCTGTTAAAATCTTAAAAATACCGAATTTAGCCGTTGTTTTAGGGTCTATACGATGACGTGGACCTGCATAGGCAATTTTTGTCATAAGCCATAACAACATTCAAATTCGAAAATTGAGAAAAAACCGGAGAATAATGTAGCTAAAATCATTAAGTTACCGAATATAGAAAGGTACCATGATATGTGGGCTATACCAAAACGAGGGTATGCACAGACAATTTTCTGTTATAGGTAGTATCCATTGCGAACCTCAAATGCAAAATTTGAAACAATTCCGGTGAATAATGGCGCAAAAATCATCAAATTCCGAATATCGGGTGGTACCGTTTTAGGGGGGCTATACGAAGACGTTGACCTGCACAGACAATCTCCTGTCATAGGCTTTAGTATCTATTACGAACTTCAAATACTAAATTTGAAACAATTCCGGTGACAGATATCGCTAAAATAATCATCAATATACCGAATATCGGGAGGTGCCGTTATATGGGGGTTATATGAAGACGTGGACCTGCACAGAAAATTTTCTGTCATAGCCTATAATATCCATTACGAACCTCAAATACCAAATTTGAAACAATTCTGGTAAATAATGTCGTTTAAATTACCAAAGTACCGAAAAAAGGGAGTTACCATTATATGGAAGCTATACCAAAACGTGGATCTACATGGCTCATTCTCAATACAAAAAGTCCTGCAGACATAATATACATGTTAATGTTAGAAGTTAAAGTTTATTTCACACTGCTATGGTGTTTCTTTATTTTGTTACTAACATTTATGTTGCGGTGCTATGCACCTCTCTTGTTGGATTTACAATTATGAATTACTTCAACTTAAAACTAATATTATACTGCAGCCTGGTCGTGCTCGTTATTACGCTGAGTCATCACTTGCGGTGCGCTGGTATTAGTGCGCGTGTTTGTGGCGGATGACTGCCCTGGTGTCATATTCCTGTTGATTTGTCGGACTGCTTGCGCAGCATAATGATGGGAATGTTTACTAGTTGGTTTGCATATTTAGTTTGATGTTTATTAGGGAGAGCCGTTAACTTACATAATATACAGAAAAATGTTATCAACCTGCTTCATTTCGTTCGGAAGCTAGAGTGATTTCCAAAGACGCATAGACGGGCAGACGGACGGACATCGCCAAATCAACTTAGAATTTTATGCTGATCAAGACTATATATCAAGGGATGACAACCTTAATATACCCTCCATAATATGGTGGAGGGTATAAAAAAAATTGGATCAGTAGATATACCGGATCTAGTTTCACCAAATGGTAAAATTCGGTTGAATATGATAAAATCTATTCAATTCAATGATATTACGTATGGGGTGAGCAATAACCGTAAAATCGGATGAAGATGTATAAAGAAGCTTTATAAAAATCTGAACCGATCTCGATAAAATTTGGCAGATGTATTTTCGAGTAGTATCCGATGCTCGGTATCAAAAATCATTGTTGTGGAGTCCACATTACGTATGTGAGGGACTTTAACACCAAATCGAATGAAACATATATATGGGAGCTATAGCAATATCTGAATCGATCTTCTCCGAATTCGATGTACTTGCTTCTAGACTGAATTTGTTACGGATGTGCCAAAAAGCAGTTCATTTCGGCTAATATTATCCATTTTCTGCACAATTAAACCGAAATTGGTGGAAGATATATATGGGAGCTATATCTAAATATGAACCGATCTTGACAAAATTTTAGGCACATATTTCTGGGTTGCATCTGATATTTGGAACCAAAGATCATTTTTGTGGAGTGCATATTACGCTTGTGAGGGACTTAAACCAAATCGGATAAAACGTATATCTGGGCCGATTTTCACCAAATTTGAAGCATTTGCTTCTGGAGTGCTTATTACGCTTGTAAGGGATTTAAAATCTCAAATCGGATGAAACATATATGTGGCAGCTGTAGCTATATCTGAACCGATTTTCACTAAATTTTATGTACTTGCTTCTAGATTGAATTCGGTCAAAATTCAGGTCATTTGGACTGATATTGGCCATTTGGTGCATAATTAATCCGAAATCGGTTGAAGATATATATAAGAGCTACATCTAAATCTGATACGATTATCATCAAAACAAATATTGTTTGGAAAATTTCATCTCAATCGTATAATAAATGCATTTTGTTCCCAAAAATCATGGACGAACGGACAGACGCACTGATATGCCTAAATCGACTCAGAAAGTAATACTATGAAGATCCTTAAAAGTAAATATGGGTCCACCTCGCTTCCTCTCCATGTTACAAACAAATGCACAAAGACATAACACCCTTAACACTATGTGGTGTAGGGTATAAAAAATCCCGTATTCGATGTATTTACGATATGACCAAGGAAAAACTCTATCACTATCACTCCCCAATAAGAGTCAGACATACATTGAGCTCCATTACGAATCATAGTTTTTGTAATCATTGAAATGTAAAACTGTATTTTATATACTGTTATATTGTCATATTGTTTTTCATACAATTTATCTTCTGCGACAGGTGCTTCTATCCCAACAACATCCTGATGGACAAATTTGCGATTGATATCTCCTCCTAATGGTGTTGCAGATTGTTAAGGGTCTAGTATTTCCAGATCCACAAAATTGCTGGCAGACTCTTTCACCGGGAGACACCGTCCTTCTTATGACCGTGCAAGATTGGGCTAAAATTCATTAAAAATAATAAAAACAATTTATGTAAATGTTCAGTAAGGATATATTAAAAGTCAAAGATCTTACCACTCGCCAAGGCAATGTACAGAAGAATAATATTGAGTAAAAGGACGAATGACTTCATATTTGGTTTTGGGGTGATAACTGATATTCAACATGGAAAGTATTTTGCTTTTATACTTTTACGGCACTCTTTACAAAACAATTGATCGGTTTAGGAATTAAATGAATATCCATGTTTTTTTTTAATTTAATGTGAATATTATTGCTTCATATGTTTTATTGTTGTTAAATTTTGGGTTTATTGCTCCAATATTTAATATTTAATATAAGCAAATATTTACTTATTTCATTGGGTATTTTGCAACAGCTACAACTTCCTTGTTTTATACTAGAAAATAGCCTTTCCTTTGTTATCGAAAATGGGAATAATTTGTACCATTAAATTAAAATTTATAATTCCTATTGTATTTCTACTCTTCAAGTCATCATAACTCCACCTCTATTTCAACTCATTGTTTAAATCCTACACTTCCACTGTGACCCATATGCTGAAATATATAATTCCGTCCACCATTCCAACACTCCATATTAAATTTGGTACAATTTAGTACTTTTCGTACAAGTTATGGTAAGCATTTCGGGATCCACTTCCTCATAAGAGCTATACCTCACAATGATCCTTATCCGTACAATATTAGCACTTCTCCTACACTTTTTACTAATTTAAGTACCACTTTGTACTTTGCGTACACGATACAGTACGGATTTCCAAATCCTGATCCTTATTTACCCGCAATTGCTCTCTGTGATCCCAGTGTAGAAAAATATGCATAATTCCAGCTCTTTTCCTACACTCTATACCAAATTTGGTACCATTTAACACTTTTCGTACAATATACAGTACGGATTTTCAAATGTCCTTCCTTATCTAAAGGCTTTACACCTAAAGTGATTATAATGCTTAATATATACCAAATTAAGTCCATTTAGTACTTTTTGTACACTATGAAGTACGAATTTTCAAATCCGCCTCCTTATCGAAACGCTATTCGAATTATTATAAGAACAATTCCACCTCTTTTCTTACACTTTATACCAAATTAAGTACCAACTAGTACTTTTTGAACACGTGATAGTGCGCATTTCCAAATCTATATTCTATACCTTCACAGTGATCCCTATCAATACCAATTTATCCCGATTCTATCATTTTTCGTACACAACATACCAAATTTTGTACTATATTTTGCTTCTGTACTTTTTGTACGTATTTCCAGGTCGACTTCTGTTTATGAACCGTACACATTTACAACCATACTTTTCACCGAAAACCCATATTGTATAATGGTACCACATTTAGTTCCTCCTGCATTTTTCTTACACTTCAAGTACGAATTTTCACCACCATATTTCAAGCTCACAAAAATGAGCCTAATACCAATGTTTAGATTTACGATTCTATTTCTTTTCCAAATACCAAATTTAGTAGTTTTCGAACCTCTTTAATACGTATTTCTAATCAGTAAAGAAAGTCTTAAAGTCGGGCGGGGCCGACTTTATGATACCCTACACTTCTTTTCTAATTTAGTAGAGCTCCGCGTAACACTTTAAAGTTTTAATGGGAGAATTCAATCATACACGCTATGATTATAATTTAAAGTTCAAAGGACTAAATATGCCGAAGCATTTGTATCTTTTAAATTCGGACTTGCATCGCCCATTTGCTGCACAATTAATTTGAAATCGGATAAAGATATATATGGGAGCTATATCCAAATCGGAACCGATCTCGATAAAACTTGGCAAAGATATTTCTGAGCTGGGTTTGATATATTTCCCTGAATATCGTTGTTACGGAGTGCATATTACGGCTGTGAGTAACAAATATAACAAGTCGGATGAACAGTAAATATGGGAGCTGTAGCTATATCTGAACCGATCTTCACCAAATTTGACATACTAGCTTCTAGACCCAATTCGGTCGAAAGTGCAAAATTTCATCCCATTTCTACGAATATTAGACGTTTGGTGGACAATCACAGGTAAATCGGACGAAGTTATATATGGGAGCTATATCCAAATCTGAACCGATCTCGATCAAAGTTAGCAAATGTATTTCTGAGCTATATTTGATATATTTCCCCAAATATTGTTGTTACAGAGTGCATATTATGGCTGTGGAGGACAAAAATAACAAATCGGATGAACAATATATATGGGAGCTATAGCTATATCTGAACCGATTTGATCAAATTTGGCATATTTATTTTCAGGTCCAATCCGATCGTACGTGCAAAATTTCATACTATTCGGACTGATATTACACGTTTGGTGCACAATAAAAGACAAATCGGACGAAGATATATATGGGAGCTATATCTAAATTTTGACCGATTACCTCCAATTTCAATAGGGTACAATATATATTTCATCTGGATAGGGCAATAAATGCGAACTGTACTTTGTTTACAAAAATACATGGACAGACGGGCGGACATGCATAAATCGACTCAGAATGTGATTCTTCGGCCCGACCAAACTTTTAATACCCTCCACCTTTGGGAAAAGGAACAATTTTAATATAGAAGGATTTGAATTTAAACGTCTTCCACTTTAAACTACAAATACCAGTAAGACCGTTTAGATATAGCTGTTAAACTTTTCAAAAACCCGTAAAGTCGGTGAGGCCGTTGTATGGGAGCCATATCAAAACTTCAAGGATTGTTATCTGCCAAATCTTCTAAAATACCAAATTCGAAACAATTTCGTGGGTAAATTATTATCAAAACACCGAATATCGGGAGCTACCGTTATATGGAAGACAAATCCGTCAACAAATGTGGCGAAAATCATCAAACTTGCCAATATCGGGAGATACCGTTATATGGGGGCTATGCAAAAACGTGGATCTATATGCACAATGTTCACTCACCGAAGCTGGAACTCATTACGAAGTACAAATGCCAATTTTTGAACAAATCAGTAAAAAAAATGTGACTAAAACTATTAAAATACTGAATATCGGGAGGAAACGTTATATAGTAGCAAACAATGTTCCACCGCCGAAGCTGGAACCCAATATGATCTACAATTCAACAAATCCTTTAAAAAATGCGGGGACATTATCAAAATACTGAATATCAGGAGGTATCGTTATATGGCGGCTATACTAAAACGTAAACCGTAGCTTTATGTGAGGGCTATACAAAAACGTGGAGATTCAATGTTGAGGAAATTCCGATGAATCATGTGTCCGAAATCGTCTTAGTACCCAATATCGGGAGTTAACGTTCCATGGGGTCAAATAGGAGCTAGATGGACAGTTTTTTGTAAGGATGTAACTAAAACCCTAGCAATACCCTAATTAAGATTGTACCGTCATATGGGCGCTAAAACAAAAACGTTAATTTTCAGTACAAACAAGTAAGCAAATGCCTATAAGCGTGCGGGGCCCAACATGTGATACCCTTAGGTCCAAATATATTTTGATAGATATCGTTTTTGAAATAATTCCATATAGTCCAGCACACATATTATCATTGGCTCTTGACCGGTAGCATTTGGCCTATGCTTTTTGTCGTGCTGATAGGTATTCCAAACAATTTTACACCAGCCGTTCTTGGATTACAAGCGGTTTAAATAGCATTCCCCTCTTTAATAGATGCGATTTTATATATTGCACTATATATGCGATATCTTGATACAATCATCAATGTAACCATCAGAAGTGGCATTTCCGGGTATTTGTGATTTCGGTAAAATTAAAAATATTCGCGGTTTGGTGGAAATTTTCGTATTTTTTACAAAAAAGTTATGGTGTATTTTATACGCTAAATATTATTCGATGATCATCAGAATTGGAATGGCTCTACTCAGCCCTAAACTCTAGTCTTATTCCAAATTCCGTTATAAGTGTGATTTTCTGTTTTTTGGTAAATATTTTGCGATCATCTCCAAAACCAAAATACTTCTGTTCTGACCATAATCCCACCACCTTGATAATCGAACCATAATTGGGACCTGTAGCGTGATTACAAATTAATATTGGCAGACGGATGGACGTGACTAGATCGACTCAGCTCGGCTACATTGGAAGATTCATATATAGTTTCCTATGTGCAGGACCAATATTTTGAGATGTTACATAATTTTTAGCCCTATTGTGGGTATAAAAATTATACGGAACAAAAATACATTTGAGCAAAATGTTCGCCTACTTCACTTCGTTTGGGAGATAGAGTGACTTCCAGGCACGGACATGACCAAATCGACATAGAATACTATGCATATAATTCTGCGTATTCCAACTTGTATAACTTGAACGTAAAAAAATTTCAAAATATTATTAGGATATATGTCGCCAATGTTTTTATAAACAATGGTGACATAGTGACAAAATAAATTAAATAATTTGACTTTAAAATTCTCAACAATCATTCAACCGAATTTCATGGAATCTAAATTGGAGAAACCTTTTGGATAATGAACAAATTATGAAAATAACTTTATCCCTTCAATGGGTACCGAATTTTTGACCAACAGAATGATTCTGAAAACTGTTTCAAAGACCTTTTGAATGATTTTAAACTTAAAACATTTTAAGTAGCTAAACATGAACTTTTCCATGAAAAAGGAAAATTTTCAGAAGAGAGGGGTTCCAGGTCCTGATACTCACCAAGGTTTATCAACTCAAACTCAAAAAAGTGTCCCACCTCAATAATTGAGTTCCATTAGTTTATATAGCTTTTATAATAATTTTAAAATTCACATTTTCTTGTATTGTTTTTTTTCATACAATTTATCTTCTGCGACAGTTGTTTCCATCCCAGCAACATCCTGATGGACAAATTTCGGCTCGATATCTCCTTCTAATAGTATTGCAAATTGATATTGGTCTATTTCCAGTTCCACAATATTGCTGGCAGACTCTTTCACCGGCAGACACAGTCCTTCTTATGACAGTGCAAGATTGGGCTAAAACGAATGAAAAAATAATTAAAATAAATTAAATGTTTAATAAGGATAAATTTTAAAGTCCTAAATCTTACCACTCGCCAAGGCAATGTAAAGAAGAATAATATTGAGTAAGAGCACGAATGACTTCATATTTGCTTTTTGGGGTGATAACTGATACTCAACATGGAAAGTATTTTGCTTTTATACTTATACGGCACTCTTTACAAAACAATTGATCGGCTTGGGAATTAAATGAATGTGGATGTTTATTTTAAATTTAATTTAAATATTATTCTTTCATCTGTTTTATTGTGGATAAATGTTGGGTTTATTGCTCCGAAACGGAAACATTTTGCAAGAAACAAATATTATTTTTTATGGGCGTTTTGCAACAGCTACAACTACCTTGTTTTATACTAGCAAATAGCCGCTCCTTAGTTAGCGAATGTCTGATTCCAGTCCTATCCCTGTATTTTATACCATCATTACTTCACCTTTATTTCTATACTCTATGCCAAATTTAGTACTTTGCATACATTATACGGTATGCCTTTCTACAAATACCGCATTGTCGTAATCCTATACATCCGCCGTGACCATAACCAAAATTCATAATTCCACCTATATTCCCACACTCTATACCAAATTTAGTAACATTTAGTACTTTTCGTACACATTATAGTACTCACTTCCAAATCAACTTCCTTATCGGAACGCTATACACTCACAGTGATCCTTATACCAAAATGTACAATATTAGCACTTTACCTACGCTTTATAACAAATTAAGTACCACTTTGTACTTTGCGTACACGATACAGTACGGATTTCCAAATCATGCTCCTTATTTACCGCCAAATGGCTCACAGTAATCCCAGTATAGAAACAGATTCACTTTTCCTATACTTTATACCAAATTTAGTACCATTTAGCACTTTTCCTACAATATACAGCACGGATTTTCAAATCCCCTTTCCTAGCTGAACGCTATACACTTAAAGTGATCATACTACCAAATATATACCAAATTAAGTACCATTTAGTACTTTTCACACACTATAAAGTATATATTTTCAAATCCAACTCGTTACTTGAATGGTATTCTCTCACAATAATCCTGAAATCAAAAATATCTATCCGGCTGTTTTCCTGCACTTTATAGCAAATTTGTTACAAATTAGTACTTTTTGATAGTGCGCATTTTCAAATCCACCTGCATAGTGATCCCTATAAATACCAATACCAATTCTAGCATTTTTCGTACACTTTATACTAAATTTTGTACCAAATATTTCCTGTACACTTATCGCACGCATTTCTAGAACGATATCCATTTATTGTACCATTGTATAATGGTACCACATTTAGTTCCTCCTGGACTTTTCGTACCCTTCAAATACGAATTTTCACATCCATGCTTTAACCCCACGGAACGAAAAGTGATCCTAATACATTTTTTTAGATTTCCACTTCCATTTCTTTCCTAAATACCAAATTTAGTACGATTTGGTCTTTTCGTACTTCTTTAGCACATATTTTTAAAACTACTTTCAAATCTCAATCCTACACACGAATAGGGAACCTAATGTCAAATTTCAGATTATAGGCATTAACCGTTCACTGTTTCTTTCCAAATACCAAATTTAGTACCATTTGGTACTTTTCCTACTTCTTTAGTACGTATCTCCAAAACCACCTCACAATCTCAACTCTACAAATGAATAGTGGCCCTAATGACAAATTTCAGATTTCAATCACTATCCGTTCATCCAATATCAAATTTAGAACCATTTGGTACTTTTCGTATCTTTGTAGTATGCATTTTCAAAACTACTTCTATATTTTATCCAATATAAATTAACCAATACCAAAATTTCAAAATTCCATGTCCATTCATTCACCCAAAACCAAATTATGTCAAATTGTAGAACCATTTTGTACAGTTCTTCAATTTATCACATTTCCAAAACACCTTCTTATATAAACTCTACTTTCCGAATCTTACTAAAATTGCAAGATTATATCTGTATTCTGTACTTTTGGGTCGCTTATTATTCAAATATCCAAAAACCCACTGGTTAGTCTTTCCTACAAATTATCAACGAAGCTCAATCCGAATTTCAGATTTTCAACTTAATCGCTTCTCTAAATACCAAATCTAATACCATTTAGTACTTTTCATACTTTTGGGAAATATTTTCAAAACCACGTTCATATCTTAACACCTCCTCAAAAATAAAAAAAAAAAATACCCCAATACTAAATTTCAGGTTTCCAACTCTATCCATTCTTTACACACCAAATTTAGTACCATTTTGTACTTATCGTATTTTTTTAGTTCATATTTCATCAAATCTCGACCCTACACAAGATTTGTGAACCCAATGTCAACATTTCACAATTCCAGCTTATTTCTTTCACATAAACCCGAATTGTACAAAATTTAGTACCACTTACTACAGTCTTACACCTAGTACATATATTCAAAACCTCCTCCTTATCTCTGCCCTACTTCTCCAACTTAAATCTTATATCAAAAGTCGTTTTTTATACCAGATACCAGGTGAGATAAAAAACTGCAACAAAGTTCAAAGCCATAATTTTTATATTTTTCTTTCTAAATTTTATTGAATGAAAGCAAAAAATGTCGTAAATAGCATCAAATTTTAGAATAAGTTTAGATTTGTTCGAATTGGTCACCTTTGGCACGAATTATGGCCTTCAAACGGCCTAAGAAACCGTCACACGCTGCCCGAATGTTGGTCTGCGGTACTTTAGCCCATTCCCGGTGAAGCTCTAACTTGAGTTAATCGACACATTGGTATTTTTTAGTGCCAACCTTGCCGTCCGTCTTTCTGGCTGGCTGGTACGTGGCGATAACTCCCGAAGTGTGCATCCGATTTGGTGCAAACTTGGTACATCGTAATATTATTATCAAACTTAGTTCATTTTCGGATATGGGCAACATCGATCCACTCCTGCTGGTACATCGCCCACAAATGGTCGAAACTTTAAACAGCCAAAACGCTCATGGAATGAGAAATAAGCATACAATTCTCCTCAAATTTTAGACATCCCAGTATTTGCACTAACGTTAAATATGGTGTAAAGATGAAGGGGCCACCCCTCCTCACAAGGGACAAAGGACAAAAAAGTCTGGGATTCTTTTCAAAATTATTATATCGAAATTAATATTTCAACAAGAGATGTGGAGTTCATTTTGATCACGTACCTCATATAAAGTGTAGGAAATTATTGAAATAGTCCAAATCTGGGACATTGTAACATTTGCATGGGACTTAGGTCAGACCCTAGTTGAATAATATAGGTCGTTTCTTTCGAATCCATCCCATAATGTGTAAAATTTTTGAATAATCAAAATATATTTAAATATACCGACATTGAGGCTGGGGGCTATAAGAAGACGTGTCCTAGGATGTAGTATCCTCATCTATCAAATTTGAAAATTTTCGTGTGAAAAATGTGTTTAAAATTATTCAAGTACCGAACATACGGTGCCTCCCTATTATATTCCAAAACATTGACACTTACATACTTATAGCAAAGCTCTTTAAACCTGCCAGTACCGTTATATGGACCTATATAACCCCCTTTAAAAACTGACTGTTACTTTTTAACTTGTTTATACACAGAACAAATTAACATTGGTACACGTTTAGGTATGGTACTCATACAAAAGGTATCATCGATTTATTTCAGATTTTAAAATTTCTCAACATTTTTTTCCTGCATAGTCCTGGCTTATTATTGTTGTAATGCTACAACCCCTTCGAAATATTATTGTAAAGATTTTAGCAATAATTGTTTATACACTTGGGTTAAACACCTGACAAGTGCCAAATGGAAATAATGACGGAAAGAAACACAAGTCATCAACACCACAAAATTGATAAAAATAGCAATTCTTTAGCAGTAACCACAATGAATTTCTTGGAAATGCTACTACTCTTTTTGCTGAAAATAATATCCGCAACAGCAGATCCATGTAAGCTCAACGGTTTTTAAAATAATAAAATTTAATAAAATTTATTTTTAGTATTTCTAAAAATTCGACCTCCTACATCAGTCTGCTCCTCATTACGTGGTGAAATTGCATCGCAAAATACCCAAGCGTGTGAATTTGATTGTGGACCAGCTGAACAATTGAGATTCTTAAATTGTCGTAACATATCACAGCCTCGATGCGTGTGTAATTTTCGAGAAAATTATTGCCGTGATGACACGCTCCAAAGATGCCGCAAAATTGGGACATTTCCAGATATTCTTTGAAATGTGAAAAATTGAAATAAAATTTATTTAAATAAAACGTTATGCCCTAATCACTACTCATTTATTTAATTCGTATATATGGGTCAATTCCTCAAAGAGCGGTATAAAGTAGGTTCAGATATAGCTATAACTGTCATATATATATATATGTTTCATCCGATTTTATATTTAAGTCTCAACAGTTTATTGTCATTGGAGCCCCCACGTTATTGACGAATATTGTCTTTAAAAGCTGAAAGAGTCTGAGGCTTTTTGACATAAACCCGCGACTTCAAAAAGCCCAACAAAGAGAAGTCTAGAGCGGGAGATTAGGCGCCCGGAAAATGCATCCTTCAGCATACTGATTGTGTCACCTGTAGTGTGTGTCGTTGCACCGTCCTTGTGGAACCATATGTTTTCAGAATCCAAACTCATTAAGTTGCGGCAAAAATAAGTCGTTGATCATTGCTTTGTAGAACTCACCATTTACAGCAACCGTGTGGTCCGCGACGTCTTAGAAGAAAAAAGGTCCGATGACTCCTCCAACGAAAACAGCACACCATACAGTGACTTTGAGCATGTAATGGCTCTTCGTGGGTTACACGAGGATTTTCAGCGAAAATTTTGCTTATTTACGTAACCGCTAAGATGGTAATGGGCCTCATAACTCAAGAGTATTATACCCTCCACCATAGTATGGAGGGTATATTAAGTTTGTCATTTCGTGTGTAACACTTCGAAATACAATTCTTGATCAGCATAAAATTCTACGTCGATTTAGCGATGTCCGTCCGTCTGTCCGTCTGTGGAAATCACATTAGCTTCCGAACGAATTGAAGTAGATTTATAAAATTTTACTCAAATGTATACCAAAACGTGGATCTACATGCCCCATTTTCAATACCAAAAGACCTGCAGACGTCTTTTGGAAATGGGGCATGAAAATGGGGAATGTAGGTCCACGTTTTGGTATAGCCCTCATATAACGGTACCTCCCGATATTCGGTAATTTGATTGTTTTAGCGAATTTATTCACCGAAATTGTTTCAAATTTGGTATTTGATGTTCGTAATGGATATTACAGCCTTTGACAGAAAATTGTCTATGCAGGTCCACGTCTTCGTATAGCCCCCATATAACTGTACCCCCCGCGTATTCGGTATTTTGATGA